CAGCAGCTCTGGGAAGGCATCAAAACCTGGTGTTCCCCTGGTGAGGGAGGCAGAGGGGTTGCTCAAGATCACAGCTGCTGGATTTGGACCCAGCTCCACCAGATTCCAAGTTCCCTTCCGTTTCCCATGCTCCCCCTTCTCTCGTGAGCAAATTCAGAGAGATTCACATCCAAGACCCGCCCAGTATGTGATTTTTGTGCTTGGTCCCTGAAAGAACTCAGATTTCAGGCAAATATCATATTTCCTTGATTCTAAGATTTGTTTTTCCTTTTTTGAGACAGGGCTTCACTATGTAGCCCAGGCTGGCCTTGAACTTGCAGCGATCCTCCTGCCTCAGCCCGGAGTGCTGGGATCACAGGCGTGTGCCACTGTGCCCAGCTAGATTTCAGGAATTCAGTAGTAGTTTTAGATTGAAATTCCTAGACTGCATGCAAGTGGCTCTCTTCTACTACTATCTTTGTGCTTTTAGGGAAGGTCTCGTGCCTCAGGAAGTTAGCCTGAGTTTGGTACCAGCTCTGCCATTTGCCAGCTCTGCAGCCTTGTAGTCGTGTCTGGGCCTCAGCTTCCTTGCCTATAAAATGAGGGGAAATTTTCACTTCTTCATTTCATGCTCCTCTGTCATCTATGAGAAAAAGCTAAGCCGTTCCGGGCAAGGTGAGGTCTCAGAACCTGTGGCCTCCTCTGCTTTCCCCACCCTGGACCCCTCGGGTGGGCAAACTCCTCGGCTGAGTTGAAGTTGGGGAGGACATTGCTGTGGACGGAGGGGACAGAGCTGAAGTACAGCTCTTAAATAGCAGGCAGCAACTTGTTTCCCGGCTCATCTCAGCTCCCCGATGTAAAGTAAGACAGATTAGATGATTTCTAAGAAACTCTTCTGGCTCTAACATTTTGTGAATAAAATCTTGCTCTACTTTGGAGACTCTTTACTGTGGTTGCATATTAGGCTCACCTAGAGAGCTGGTAAAAAATGAAAAGACACCAGGACTCCTCCTCCCTGTTTTGATGGAATTGATCCCGGGACTTAGGCATCCTTTTCTTTTTTGGTACCGGGGATCGAACTTGGGACCTTGCGCTTGCAAAGCAGGCGGTGGAACCACTGAGCTAAATCCCCAGCCCCAGGGATCCTTTTCTAAAAGCTCCCCAGGCAACTTTATTAGCAACCAGTTGAGAAGCACCACCTCTGTCCACCTAACACCTTAGTGTGGGATAAGATAAATATCCCAGTGATCTCTATTTTGCCCCATTGGCCTGTGCATCTGTTTTATGCCAGTATTATTCTGTTTTGGTGACTGTGGCTCTGCAGTATGTCCTAAAATCAGTATCATGATCCTTCTGGCTTTGCTGTTTTTGTTCGATTGCTCTGGCTATGCCAAATCTTTTGTGGTTCCTTATGAATTGACACATTTTTTCCAGTTTTGCAAAGAATGTCATTGATTTTTTTTTTTTTGGTAGTGGGGACCGAACTTGGGACCTTGCACTTTCGAGGCAGGTGGCAGCATCACTGAGCTAAATCCCCAGCTCTGTCATTGGTATTTTGATGGCCATTGCATTGAATCTGTGGATCACTTTGAGTAGTATGGACTTTTTCCTTCTTTCTTTGGTACTTGGGCCAGGGATTTAGCTCAGTGGTTCTGCCATCTGCCTTGCAAGCACAAGGTCCTGAGTACGATCCCCGGTAGCCCCCAAAAAAATAAATTAAAAATTTAATAAAGGGCTGGGACTGAAGCTCAGGACTTCTGAGGATATATCCAAAGGAAATGCACTCTGGGTAACAAAGATAGCTGCATGCCTATGTCTAATGCTCACATATGGAGGCAGGCTAGGTGCCCACCAAAACAACGGGTAAAGAAAACGAGGTATACATATACAATAGAATATTATTCAACCACTAAAAACAATCAAACCCTCATTTGCAGCAAAATGGAAGGACATTATATTAACTGAAATAAGCCAGACACAAGAAAGACAAATCTGTGGAAGAGAGAGAAGGAAAAAGAAAAGTTGATCTGAATGCAGCATAGTTATTGTTGGAGGGTGGGGAGAAGGTCAATGAACAGAGGCTGGATTTGATCAGTGCACGACAGATGTTAATGGAAAGTGAAAGTTTATGGTCTTTCATCAGCTTTGTGAAGCTGCTTAGCTCATTTTATTCTTCCTGGGAACCAATCTTGCACACCAGATAAAGGCCTCATTTTCCATATGCTGAGTTTAAATAAACTTCAGTGTTCTAATTGGAAGAGCACAGTTGATAACAATAGCTGGATCCAAGAGTGAAGAAGGAAAAGACCAGAGGGAAAGTTGTGCGTCTTTTGCATTAAATGGGTATGAATATTATACATCAGTGAAGTTAACCACAAAATTCCATGTCAATTATAATCAAATGGCAGTTAGTAAAAAACAATTTCTAACTCCCTTTTAAAGTAAGCCATGAGGCCGGGGACTTAGCTCAGTGGTTCAGGCGCCTGGCTCACAAGCTCAAGGTCCCAAGTCCGATCCCTGGTGCCAAAAAAAAAAAAAAAAAGCCTTAAAAGCTTGTATTAGGGAAGAATTTGGTTTCTTTTGGTAGGTGTGTGCTGAGGAATTTATAACCTAGCAATCAGACAACCCTAAATGGAGGAGGCCAGAAATTTTGTATTTGGCAATTCTGGGTACTGTATTTGACTCTGTAGGGGTATTGTGGGGAGAATTAAGCTTAAGAGCACCTGCTTTCAGAATCTGTAATCTAAATGGAGAAACAAAACCAGTAGCTAACAGTATGGTACAAAATGAGATGCCACATTCGAGACGACCTTTATTGAGGTTTTTATGTGCCGGGTGCCAAGAGCTTTATGTGTATTAAATCTAAGCCTCACTACATTCTGTTGAAGAAGATTCTATTCTTCTTCCTACCTCACACCTAGAACTGGAGGGTCAGGATTTGTAAACAAGGGCAAGCTCACAAAGCTAGGAAGTAGCAGGGGTGAGGGGGAAGCCAGGTTCCACCTCTGCTAGTGATTCCCACACAAGCTGCAAACTCCACGGGCAGCCTGGTTCTGACTTGCAAGCATGTGCTATACTAATTGCTTGCAAGGAAGTGAAGAGCTGAGGCACAAGTTGAGGTTAAGGAAAGGATTGGTCAAGTGACACAGGGTCCCTTTTTTTGAGAGCGGGTCTCACTGTGCTGCCCAGGCTGGCCTCCGTTTTCACTTAAGTGATTCTCCTGCTTCCGCCTCCTGAATATCTGGGATCACAGCTGCTGTTCCACCATGTCTGGCTGCTACAGGGTCTTGAATATCAGACAGAACATGGATTGGATTAGGGATTGGAGTATCCCTGGACATTGGGCAAGAGTAAGAATTAGCCTGCCTGTAAGAAGTGCTAGGGTCGCACAGGGTGTGCTAGCGGGGTGGAGCTGAGATTTCTCCTGAGTGCCTGCCCGCTGAGGGCAAGGACTACACCCTCTCAAGCTGTGCTTCTTCATGGGCTAACAATGGGCTGGCTCGTGTTCGTTGCTAAGTAACTGCTGAATGAGCACGGAGAAGGGCTTCTTGGAACTTGGAATTTTACCCCTCACCCAACTCAGGCAAGGTAGCGAGCTGCTGCCGCCCTTGTCCATCATGAGACTAACCTGGGACAGGAGTGGCAGCTGAGACAGCACGCAGCAGTCACCTGCCACGGCACCATGGCACGAGGTACCCAGCTGAACCAACACCCACAGCTGGTCAGCTGCCTGCTGACCAGGCCACCGCACTTCCTGACAGACTGTGGAGCACTGGGCCTGCCCCCTGCTCAGAGCTGCGTCTCCATCAGGCTGCAGAACAGTCATGCCTGTGTTGAGAGCTGATTTCTGATTAGCAGTAAATCCAGGCAGAATTAAGGACACCAAGGTGACTAGTCTATAAAAATTTCTCAACCACAGTGCTGCAAATAGATGATATATCTGCTGAGATCTCGTCTCATTAGCAATGAAGAGCCAGCCAGGCTGGTCAGTTCTGGCTGCAAGGAGCCTCCAAGCATATATGCCAGCATGCCTGACAGAGATGGAAAGGTTGGTACATAGCATTACCTTACTTAATGATCATCTTTATCCCTAGTAATTCTTACATACCAAACTTTAAGACCCTAAGACAACCATTTTTTTTTTGGTACTGAGAATTGAATTCAGGACCTTGTGTTTGCCAGGCAGGTGAGGTGCCACTGAGCTAAATCCCAGGGCCCCTAACTTTCTTTTTTTGGGTCATTATCCCTTTGTAAGTCTGATAAAGCCAAAGATCTTTCCCCTATAATGCACCACCACTTGTTCATGCAATATTTTACTTCCATTTCACAGTTAAACAATCTAGATGAATTTTCTGTTCTGGAAGGATTATCAGACAAATCCAAATTTACTTACTTTAGAAAAATATATTTCCTGCCTTTTCTTTTTTCCAATACTGGGAATCAAACTCAGGACCTTGCAGCACCACTGAGCTAAACCCCCAGCCTGTGCCTTTTCTTTAATAAAGCTTTTTTTTTTTTTGAGACAGGGTCTGGTTGTGTAGCTCAGGCTGGCCTTGATAGTCTCCAGAGTGCTGGGACTACATATGCGTGCCACCATGACCTGTCTCTTAATATAACTTCAAAAAAACAGAATTATCAAAGAAATGTCTGAAAAAAGGATTACATTGAACTCCCTCAAAATTTCCTCCAGAGCATGCAGAAACCATGGCCAATTCCACGTGGCATTCACCAGAACTCCCAGCTGCTCAGGGGAATCTGCTATTCCCTGGCTCTGAGCACCATCTACCTGCAGAGTTAGCTGCTCACTGCCGGGAGCCCCATGTAGGCACAGTGGTTCTCTGCATCCCTTCTATCGGGCCCGGGCACATTTTGGTTAGCGTTCATACTAAAACCCCCAGGTAGTCTTCCTTTCTCCACTGCAAGCACATGGCCTTATTCGTGTCTATTAATCGCTCCACAATTATGAAGAACCAAAGCAAGTCTGAATGAAGAGGGTGGGGGAGAAGGAACATTTAAATCAATTAATTTCAGCAGCATCTTTATTGCAACCAAGAACCTGTAATAAAATGCAACAAAACTAATGTTTCACTTTCCATGATGAAAAGCTATGTAGCTGATAATGAGAACACCCTTAAACTTACTAGACTGAGACATGCAATTCATTTGTACAAGTCAGTGCTTAAAACAGCAGGCACTTATGCTCCAGAATGAAAGACCTCAACTCCAATTTTGCTGAATATAACACAAACTTGTATTGAGGTTGTTTAAAAACAAACATACAAACAAGACTTCTCTCTCTCAGTGGGACTTGTGAGACTACTACCTAGACCCAGCACCTTGCACTAATGAACTCTGGGCTGGCAGGTGGGGAGGTCAGGCCAGGAGTCAGGGAAGTTTCCTCATTCCTCTCTCTGCTGGGAAAGGGCACTCACATTACCTCTTAGTTTAGATATGGCCCATGTCCCTTTTGTAAAAAATATAAGATAGCTCTAAGTTGGGCTCCTGGGCTTAAGTAAGGGCTCTACTCTATATCCCAATTCCCCACATTTAGTGTAATGATTTTAATTAACTTCAGAATATACCGATTAGAAGTACTGCTTCATTAATAAGCATGCTTAGCATTTAATTTAGAATGGAAAAATTAACCATTTTATGTGGTTACCTTTAAAATGTTTTTCAGGAATATATTAATAAATACTTGTTTTAAAACCTGCCTTTTCTATATATCATTTAGTCACCACATGGCAGGACATCTGGATGGAGTCTAGTACCAACGGAATACTAACTGGCTGTGTGGCCATGGGTATACTTCCTTCTCTCTCTACTAGGCAGGGTCTTCCTCTAGCACATGAGATCATTAGATTATATCAAAGACTTACTCCAGCTTGAAAACTTATGATTCAATAATGACAAACTGCATTGGAATCATCCTACCCCTAAAGAGAGAACAATGTTATAGAAAGGTGGGCTATATCTTTTGTAAGGAATACAAGTAATTTAGAAAGTTAGCATCAGTTCTCTACATTTCATTCTTTTAAAAGATAATTCATGCACTGTGACTTCATCTTCTCGTGTGAAGCTTTGGAAAGGAGCCAGGAATGGCCCAGAGAAAAAACATTCATTCCAAGACGAATCTGCAGACAACCGGGGAGACGATGTTAACATCTCCTGCTGCTTTCAGAGTGAGAAGGGGCCAAGCGCTATCCCAGGCCAACAGCTTTCTTGACTATTGTTTTAGGCTGTTATGAGTCAGTCCTGTGTAAAAATCACCTATTATTTTCTCAACTCAAACTCCTTTCTCTAAGGAAGAGTTTCTTAAGTAGTCCACAAGATACTTGATATAGAATCACCTAGAAAGCTGATCAGAAATGCAATTTCCCAAAGCTTTTGTAAATGAAGAGGAAAAGAAGGGCTGAAGGGAGGGAAAGGGAGTGGAGAAAAACAGAAAACTCAAGATATGTTATGTACAGGTACAAATTCCCTATGATAAATGTGATCATTATGGATATCAAAAGTTTACCAATAAAATTAATTTTTAAAAAGAAACGCAATTTTCTAGTCTCCACTCAAACCAACGGAATCCAAATTTCTGAGTACAAAGTTCCAGACCACATTTCTTTTAGTAAGCATCCCAGATGCATCTTAGATTTTGGGTTTCACTGCTCTCCAAAGCTCAATAATTATTTTTGCTGATGGTTGTTCAACTGCATTTATTATGCCTATAAACCCAGTTTGCTGTTTACCCTACTGCTTTTTGGCTCTTACTGAACTGTTGCTACTTTTTTATTCATGTCTTTTACACTGTTATCCTAATCAGGGTACAAATAATTCCAATGTGCTTTCTATTAACCTCGTCAGTTGACTATGCTTTCCACACTGGTCATCCTTTTGCAGGTAAATTCAGTCGGGTATTTTCCCCCCAGAGAAGCAGAATGGCCTTCAACGACTGCAGGTTATAAAAGGAGCATTCCTGGTGATAGGAGGAAAGACAAGATGCAAACGGAAAGCCCCTGTGAACTCAGAAGTATATGCTGCTTTCTAAGGTTTGTTTTGGTAACAAAAGATATTATATTGAAGAAAACCTTAATGGGTAAGAGGTTTCAAATGAGTAGCTGTCTAAAAGCTACTTTATACCATTTCTACTCTGCATATAATTCACGTAAGAAGAGATCCTTGGAGGCCAACGAGTCCAAAAAATACCACCCTTAGCAGTGAGATACATATTTAGGTCATGAGGGAAAATACTTTCTTGGGGAAGAAAAGTTACCCAAATCAATTTAATTTAACATTGAAAAAATATAAACAAATCTTGGCATGAGAAAATACCATAAACATGAAAATCAATACATATACAGAAAATAAGGAAAAGTGTAGGATCTATTATACAGTATAAATACACAACCAGCAAACCCAATCCCTGATGCCCAACAACAGAAGCCCCAGGGCAACCTGCCCTTTCTGGAGCTCCTCCAACTTCCCCCTGGCTCTGTGACAAAGGCCACCTGTGACACACGGTCACCATCCAGTTACTGCTACAGACTGTGCTCTGTGCGAGAAGCAGACTCTGAGTGGTGAGAAAAAATAGAGCCACTGTTCTTAGAGTGGGAGAGAAAGGTACTGGGAACGACTTTCTAAACACTGAAGCCTGTGACAAAAAGGGTCAAACTCAGAGCCACCTTGCCTGCTGCTGGCTCCGAGGGGACCCATGCAATGCCCGAAGACTCTGCCAGGGCAGATCTCAACTGGTAGGGGCTCCCTTCATAATTAAGTGCAAGGGCCAAACCAGGAAAATATCCTAGCCATCCGAGATGGGCTTTTAACATGGCAAAAGAGAGCCAGGCTTGCCGGGGATTATAGTAAAGAGCTTGTCAGAAAACCTTTTTATTTTAAGCTCACAATATCCAAGTTACATTCAATAATTTAAGAAGGATAAAGTTTAAATATGTAAGGTTTCTAAAATTGAAGGAAAAAACCATAAAAATTGGAATTATAACTCTATGGAACTTTATTCCCCTGAATAATGTTAGTCTGCAGCTGGGTTAAAAGACTGATTTCTTGGGCCGGGGATTTAGCTCAGTGGTTCCACCACCTGCCTCAAAATCGCCAGGATCCAAGTTCAATCCCCGGTACCAAAAAAAAAAAAAAAAAAGACTGCAATTCTGGTTTCCTTAACTAACATTCTAGGAGTTTAAATTTTACTTCCCCAATGTGTTTCATGGCTGTTTTTGTTGAAAATACTTCTGCTTAGTTCTTAAGCAGACCCTTGGCGCCTCCTCTCCCTCTCCCTCCCCACCCTACTGTGATTCTCTTCCACCTCCCTAAAACACTGGTGTGTTTTAACAAGGAAACATCAAATGGAAACTGGCCCTAAATTTTCTGAATTTGAGTAAATCTGTACTTTTTTCTTTTCCTGAAGGGTAAGGGGGAAGGAGATGCCTTGCCTGCAAATATTTAAGCTCTCTAATCATTTGATTAAATCTTTTCTGCCTGTAATTATCAACATTATAAAACTAATTAAATCCATGCTACATATACAGTCACTTGCCTTTATGAGAAAGGAAAAAAATCCATTCTGTCATATCATCAAAGAAAAATGAGAAGTATTTATACTAAATACAGTTTAAATTGGCTAAAAACTGGTCAAAGCCAAAATAAGTATGTTTAGGAGGCCGCTAAGTTATCCTTGAAAAATCATTAACTGGTTAAATCAGAGATTTAACAGTGATTAGTCTTAACATGCTGGATATATCCCAAGCAATGAAGCATAAGGTATTCATTACACTTAAGTGCTATCAAATCTGTAACTAGTCAGAGATTCTGGAAATGAACCAAACTGATCACTAAGATCATATTTGAGCAAACTCAGAAGTATACTGTAAAAATACACTAATTAAGTCCATGAGGTTTATAATGCTATTAAAAAGTGAAAATAGGAAAGTATGGACATGTGGTGCTAATGTCTTATTTCTTTCAGTAATTTTCATGGTATTGCTGGATCCCTTAGAAATCAGTATCACTCAGTTGTGTGTGTGTGTCTGTGTGTATGGTTAAGGTATTACAGTGCTATTCACAAGCTGCAGATGCCTGCATGGCACCAAATTCACTTTCAGAAGATGTTATGTGACGGGTACCAAAATCTGATGATCGATTCCGTGTTCTCTACTGACTAAACCTCGTTTGGTTAAACAGCCAGTGTATACCAGAGTTCTACACAGGACACAATTATATCACTTTCAGAGCAGCAATACGTGATCCAAGGTTTTCTTGAAGGTAGTGCAAAAGATGCAGTTCATAATGTTCTCCCGATTCAGGAACTCTGATGCTGTGTCTCTCCTGAGGATAGATCTTAACAAGAAGTAAAAATATGAAAGGAAAAAAGAAAGAAGAATTTAATAGCACATCTCCTTCCAAAGCTTCCTGGAGATTATTTAAAACAAAATTAATACAGAGCACAGCCTCTCCAAGATATTGCACATTATATCCTATGTAAAGGCCCCATACTCTTCTGGTCATTCCTTATATTCTGACCCATTGGGCTTCATGAAGGACCTTTCTCTAGACTAGTAGTTCATTGTTCAAGTGTGGACTGCAGACTTCGAAGGGTCTTCAGAAACTCGTTCAAGGGGTATCTGAGGCCAACACTGCTTTCAGAACAATACCAAGACATCATTTGCCTTCACTGACAGTGATATTTGCTTTGTTCACTACACTGCAATACATTGCAGTAGTGAGTTAAACTGCAGGTGCCTTAGCATGATGAAGGCAGTGACGTTCAAGTGTACAGAAGTCACGGTCTTCTTCACCACCACACTTGCAGTAAAAAAGAAAATTGCCAACTTCTCTTAAGTAGCAGTAAAACTTAGGAATTTTAGAAAGTTGTAACCCTAGAGTAGAACTCTGGTGTTGAACTGGGAGACACACTGCAGCACAAGAGCCATAGCACATGTCCAGGGAGAGCACTTATGTGGCCAAGGTGCAAGCTGAACTGCTGGTTCCGAGGGCACTCCATCTTCTTTTTCAAAGAGTGACTGACAACTACAACTACTCAGACTCTCGTATGTGGTAAACATTTTCTCAAAAATAAAGGAAGGAAGATGGTCACTTCAGAGTCCAAACTGTATCTACCTGTTTGCCAATGATACTATCTGAGCTTCTGAATAAAAATTCAAATATTCTGAATAAAAATTCAAATCTTGCATCTCCTGCTATTAACTTATAAGCTTCCTTATATTTATGTTTCTAATGAAATCAGTGATAATATCACCGTAGGGAATTTTTAAAATATTATATAATGAGTCAAAATTTGAAAAACTGGCATGATACAGTGAACCAGTATTTTTCAGAAGGGTAAAAGACATATTTGATATAGAAAATTTAATAAATATTTAATGTTAGAGTATAAAAAGTTTACAGATATAGCTTCAGATTTCACAAAAATCAAGTTTGTTTGTTTTTTTTTTTTGGTACCAAGGATCGAACTTGGGACCTTGTGCTTGCAAGGCAGGCAGCGGAACCACTGAGCTAAATCCCCGGCCAAAAATTAAGCTTTAAGAAAATACCACTTTAGAGCTGGGGATTTAACTCAGTGGTTCCGGCGCCTGCCTCCCTAAGCGTAAGGTCCCGAGTTTGATCCCCAGTACCAAAAAAACCAACAAGAAAATACCACTTTAAAAAAAGAGGGGCTGGGGATTTAGCTCAGTGGTATTGCCACCTGCTGTGCAAGCGCAAGGACCTGAGTTCGACCCCTGGTACCAAAAAAAAATAAAATAAAAATAAAAATAAATTAAAAAAAAGAAACTACCATTTGTCTAGTTTTGGAGTAGTAGCAAAGCATATTCACACTTATCTGAAAAGGCTAAAACACTCCTCCTATTTCTTAACTATATATTCTGTGAGGACAAATTTTTCTTCATATACTTTAGCAAAACCAATGTAACACAAAGGGTCGAATGCAGTAGGAGATATTAAGAATTCAAGGGCTGGGGATTTAGCTCAGTGGTGCCACCGCCTGCCTCGCAAGTGCAAGGTCCCAAGTTCGATCCCCCATACCAAAAAAAAAAAAGTCAAGTGTCTTCTTTGAACCAGAAACATACCTTTCTTGTAAGGGATTTACAAAAGTAAAATAATGCCACTTTCTCAGTAAATAGTTTTGTTTTGTTACACAGTTTTTTCCATAATAAATGTAATTCAGTTAACAGATAATTTCTTATTGTTATTTTATATCAATATTTTAAATGGTTTTTTTTCCTTTTTGAGTCAGTCCTGCAATGTAATCCATGCTAGCCTTGAACTCATAATCCTCCTGCGTGTGTGCAGGTAGGTATACCTGGCAATATTTAAAATGTTTCTCAGTTTTAATATCTTACATGAGACATTTTTCCGGTACTGGGAATCAAACTCAGGACCTTGTGATTGTGAGGCAGGTGCAGTGCCACTGAGCTAAATCCTTGGCCTGAGACTTCTTTTTTGAGATGGGGTCTCACTATGTTTCCTACACTGGTCTTGAACTTGTGCGTATAAGTGATCCTCTTGCCTCAGCCTTCTGAGTAATTGGGACAATAGGTATGTGCCACTGCACCTGGCGAGAAATACTGATAGACATAACCCACATTAAAAAAGCTCTTTGCTATGTAAAGGGGTCCTGAGACCAAAAAATTTGAAAACTGTTGCTATGGACAACAGTTTAACTTAACAGAAATGTCAACTGAAATATAACAAAGGAAAATGTAATAAAAGTTTTTCATTTCTCACGAGCATGTAGGAAGAAAAGTTTTTCTTAAAACCTTTTTCTTTCTTTATTTTTTGAGAAAGGGAACAATGGAAGAGGGTAACTTCTGATTTCTGCGCCAATGGCAATGTAAAAGAAAAGAAAATTAAAGACCGTGTAATTGAGTTTTAAAGATCTTTTTAGAACACTGAAATCAAACAGCATTTCCTTACCCTTCCCAAGGAGGAAAGAAACACAAAGGAGGACAGTGAGTGGGCAGCCTGGCACCACTTCCCTGCTCATACTCCCCAAGCAGGGACATAGTCATGTAATCTGACAAGCCAGATGCCAGCCTGGCTTCCATAGGGTCTGAAGTTTTTTGTTTTTTGTTTTTGTACCGGGGATCGAACTCAGGTCCTTCCGCTTGCGAGGCAGGTGGTGGAACCACTGAGCTAAATCCCCAGGGGGTCTGAAGTTTTATTCAAGCAGAGGCAGTCAAAGCTATGTCTACAATTTCCGTTCTCTTAAACAGGGGAAAATCTTGCCTGATTCGGTATTTTATTAGATTTCAAAGTAATCTATCGCTAGTCATTACTGCATTTAATTTGAAAACATCGGACAACTCACCTGTAGATCATATGGCTTTCCCGCCCTTACTAAAAAACTCAGTAATATACTGGTGTGTGCAAAATGGACATTCTCATCCAAAAACCCATGTAAGAGTAGTAAACGATTTGGTCTGAAGAAATAAAAATATCAGAGGATTAGGTAAAATATTACAGTATTAAGGAAAACCATTCTTTTACACTAATCACACTTAATGACCTTAACATTTAAATACTGTAATATTAAAAGGATTCAATATTTTCAATATTAAACTTCAAATATATTTACCCTATAACTATGCAATGAAAGATGAAAAAAAAACCATGTGCTCAAATCTTTATTGAAATATGAGAACACATCAACATTACAGTGTGTTTCTAGAAAAACCACTTGTAAAACAGCAAACACCAGTATGCATGATCTTCAACTCAGTTTTGAGAAACACCTATGTCATTCTAGTATTCTATAAACCATTAATCTAAGTTTTCAGTAGCTATATTTTTGTTACTAACGACAAATTTTAAAAAATACAATTTAAAATTGATAACCTTAATTTTTAAGCTTGGACTTACTCAGAGGGGAACTTTTCTGCTTGCATGGCCACAGATCCTAAGTAGTAGCCCTGCTCATTCTGGTCAGGGTGACCCATATAACGTTCTGTGTATCCTGTATCATAGAAGATCCACAGAGTGACTGGGGCGCCGGCAACAGCAACCTGCAGAAGACAACATTTAACAGGCAGCTGTTCCAGAAGAGCAGCTAGCAAGAACTTACAACTGCACATTCACAGGTTAAAATTATCCTCAGGGTTAGCACCACTACTGGGCATGCATGGTCTCAGGAGACTCAGAAAACGAAAGTAGCTGCCAAGGTCACACATTTGATACTTTGTGAGTCACTGAGTTTCATGTTCCATGGGCATGCCACATACCAAAGTCTTACCCTGGGCCAACTGAAATACAAGCCATGTGTCCCTTAATTAAAAAGGGGAGAATGACCTAGAGAATACAAATACTTTAGAAATACTTTAGTGTAAACTCATCCATGCTACTGGAGGAAAAAAACCACAACAATTGTGAACTTCTTATAAGAAAAGCAGCCGGGCTGGGGATTTAGCTCAGTGGCATCACACATGTCTCGCAGGTACAAGGTCCTGAGTTCGATTCCCAGTACCAGGCAAAAAAAAAAAAAAAAGAAGAAAGAAAAGCAGCCACTTATTTGCCTTCACAGTGAGCTATGTCCTCAGTCCCCCTACTCTATCTTATTTTGAGACAGGGTCTCACTAAGTTGCCCAGGCTGGGCACAAACTTGTGATCTGTCTGCCTCAGCCTCCCAGAGAGTGTTAGAATTATAGGCATACACCACCATGCCCAGTCATAGTACAGAATTTAAAACAATGAACTACATTTAAATTCTAAAAACTTGCCTCCTAATCTTAAGGCTCAAAAACAGCTTAATAAGGCCGGGGATTTAGCTCAGTGGTTCCACTGCCTAAGTGCAAGGACCTGAGCTTGATCCCCAGTACCAAAAACAAAACAAAAAAGTTTTACATTTAAACAAATTACGGCGATTTTCAGGGTCCATTTGTAGTTCTTACAAAGATTATCTGAATATATATGCAAGAACAAAAATTCTATCATTTTTATTCTTTTTTTTTGGTTTACTGCTATGTGCCAAGGGTTGTGCCTGTCTGCTGATATAGTGACGTTTATGGCGGAGGTACTTGCTCATAGAGCTTGCCATCCAACAATTAAGTAGCTATAATCCAATATATATGGATGTGTTTCATAATCACAATTCTCTATCATAGTCTTTGGCTGTCTAAAAATAGCCCAAAACTGGTCATCAAGTTGGCAAGTGTTTAAAAAAAAAATTATGCTGGGCTGGGGCTTTAGCTCAGTGGTTCCGCCGCCTGCCTCACAAGCGCAAGGACCGGAGTTTGATCCCCGGTACCAAAAAAAAACAACCCCAAAAAAACAACAACAAAAAAATTATGCTAACATTTGAGATATCTATTTCACATGGTGATTAAACACACAAACCCTAATGTGTCAATTCTGTAAACGTGCAGAAAGTAAGCTTTTTGCATGGCTTTCATTTACAAAGCGCTCTATCCTTACTTACAAAATTGAGTGAAACAGGAAGTGACGTACCCTGAAGATGTCAGACCTCTGCATTAGCGCCATCAGGGAGAGGTATCCTCCATAGGACCAGCCATGGATGCCTACACGATCCAAGTCAATGAAGTCATAGCGGGAGGCTAGATACTGGAGACCTTCCACTTGGTCATCAATTTCTATTTGACCCTGTCAAAAGAGGAAGAACACTTTACTGATTTTGATGCATAAAGGTCTCATTATAAGAGTGCTTTTAAAGTTAATAAATCTTTTTACTAAAAATAATGAAGGTTTTATCAGGTTAGAATTCATTAACAACTGAAATTCTGTTGTCCTCCCAAGAAAGTTTTTTAAAAAGTCTATTTAGAAATGGGCCTACAGCTTCTGCTGTGAGCGTTCCTAGAGTTTAGTTACCACTTAGTCCTAGAGTCCTTTCGTTTCTCTTGGGTAGTTCCCATTTCCATTTGTTCTGTTGTCTGCTAAGAGGCCAGCATCTTCCTTGTAACAAGCCTTCCTTATACCCAAAGGCAAAAAATTAGCCCCCTTAAGAGACCAATAATTTTACTTCTCCCTAGTATTTAGTGCAGGAAAGCAGAGGGGATCACCTGAGGTCCTAACTTCCTGATTCCCATGATACCTTGTGTAAGAACTGAACATGCTCTCTCTTCAGAGCCCTATTAAGTCTTAATTCCTAGCACTGCCACCTATCTATATTACTTGGCCTGCCAGTGCACACAGTTTCACTTCACTGAGCCAAAAACAAAAATTAAAACCAAAAAACTTACATGATAATACAACATAAGGTCAAAGAACTGGCTGTGGGAGAAAATCCCCATGTCTTACTCAGCATGTCCAATACACTGGCAAACACAGTAACTGCATTAGTGTGCAAAAGGAACATCGGATTCTCATCATTTCCCAAAGCAGCAGAAAGGACATGGGGCATCTCTAAAAGGTAGCATTTAAAGCTTCCTGTAGAGAGAAAGAGGCTTGTCACAAGGAAGGCACTAACCAGTTTGTTTCCCTCTTCACAGAGGACAGAACAAATCTCAGTTACTCCTCAACAGTGTACAGGATGCCGAAAACTAAACAGTGCAGCTTCTAGGCTGAGGTGGACACACGAGACAAAAAGAGGGCACTTCTAGTGGAAGGGGCTCTCCCTCAGCACCCCAGTATTACAGAAAGGTACAAGAGAGTTAGCCAAGGGAATATCAAGTTGCATTTTTCCTCCCATTCCACACTCTCACACACACACACACACACACACACACACACTCACACTCACAGCCCCTAAGGCTTTCTCTGGATTTCATACCAAACAATGAACCAGAAATTGTAAATGTCTTCAAAAGTATTTTTATGCTCACACACCATTTTATATTTAAAGGCGCCTTCAAATTTTAGCCCTCGGTGACAGGATCCCCTGTTGTCTATCACCACAACCACATAACCCAGAGAGGCCAGGGTATTCAAGCGGAAATACTTGACTCCTTTAAACCGATTATTCACCAACTGGACCTGAAGAAGAAATAAAAAGTCAGAGAAATTTATCATATGGGAGCATACAATCCACAAGGCAGGGCATTGCAAAAAGCAGAAAGCTTAAAATTTTCGTCTTATTTTGTCTTTGAATGTAATTTTTTTAAAATACTGAGGATGGAACCCAGGGGGACTAGATCTATCACTGAACTACATCCCTAGCATTTTTTCATTTCAAACAGGATCTAAGTTGCCCAGGCTGGCCTCAAACTTGCTATCCTCCTGCCTCAACCTTCAGAGCAGTTGGGATTACAGGTGTGCGCCACCACACCCAGCATGAATGGTCTGTAAAACATAATCATACTAAAGTAATTTAATATCTGATCATCATCCTTGAGATCTCATAGCTTATACAGTTATTTGACTTTTTGTATTTTGCACAAGTTGGTATTTTGATAAATTTCCAGGTATGAAATAACTGGGTATAATTATAAAGTACATCACGGAGTTTAAGACTTGCACTATGAAACACTATAATTACATTCTAATTTTCTTAAGGCTTTGTGAAGGATACAGTGATACCTTGGTTCATCAACACTTTTTTTTTTGGTACCGGGGATCAAACTTGGGGCCTTGCGCTTGCGAGGCAGGTGGTGGAACCACTGAGCTAAATCCTGGTTCATGAACACGTTTGTCTGCCAACAATTTGGTTTGCGAACAGAAGCGTTTGGCAAAATTTTGTTTTTGTTTATGAACTCTGCATCGGGTGATGATCACCACTGAGGCCACCTTTCCTACAAGAATGTGAATGTAGCCATCTTTTCCAGAATCATGGAATGAATTAAGTTTCTGAACCAAGGTACCACTGTATATGATTAGGACTAAACATTTTAAAAATTAACTGATTGGGCCAGGGATTTAGCTCAGTACTTTACTCAAAGTAAAGTACTTTACTTTTTTAGCGACTAGCATTTACTTAACAGTCACATGGTAATATTTAATTCAGAAAATGGAAACTCAAGGTATAAACTTTGACAGTACTAAGGAGTAGTACAGTGGTTGTTTTCACTGGCTGGTAAGAGTTTTCTAGTTTGCTGTAGAGATGGAGTCTTAGAATGAAGGGGAGGAATTCACTAGTCTACCAAGGCTTTCTGAACATATAAGACTATTTTTATTTACCAAGACATTTAATTACTGTTTCATTTCCCAAATTCCTCTACATAGAAAGCAATATATTTACCAACGGACATGAATATTCCCCTTCTCAAAAAGTTGAGTCGTCATTATAAAGAAATTCACACTGATTTAGAAATTAGCCATCTAAATTTAAATACCCAGCTTTCTGAACTCGTAACTGGCTAATTAGAAAAGTTGAGAATGGTAAATGCACGACACTGCTTAAAATTATTTTTTTAGAGTGGGGAGACAGTGTCTCACTTTGTAGTAGGCTGGCCTTGAACTCACTACTCAGCTCAGGGTGGCCTCAAACTTGCAGTGATCCTCCTGCTTCAGCTTTCTTAGTGCCAGGATTACAGGCATACAACATCACACCCAGCTGGCTTAAAATTCTTTTCTTTTCTTTTTTCTTTTTTTTTCGGTACTGGGGATCGAACTCAGGTCCCTGCGCTTGCGCAGCAGGCGGCAAAACCACTGAGCTAAATCCCTGGCCCCTGGCTTAAAATTCTTGTCTGAAATAACTGACCAGATATTTAAAAAACAAATCACCTAGAAATATATTAAAGTATGCTTACTTAAGTGTATTTATATACCCACCTGAGGACCACCATATATGAAGAGCACAGTGGGGTATTTCTTTCCAGGTTGTAGATCATGAGGCTTGTACAGCATCCCATACAATGTAAATCCAGTAGTACTTTCAAAAGAGAAAATTTCTGGAGGAGTATAGTCAGGAAGAGGACCTGTGAGTGGTAATATACAGTCTGTAAATGCTTTCACGGGAACCCTACAATCCGAGGGCAAGGAGGAAAAATATCAAAACCCGGAGGCCCACACAAAGTAACTTACTAACTTTCAAGTGAGACCAGCAAGAAATTAAGCAAAAGGCAAAGCATGGTGGCACACCCCTGTAATCCCAGCACTCAGGAGGCTGAGGTAGAGGATCACTACAAGTTCAAAGCCAGCCTGGGCAATATAGTAAGAAAAATAAATAAATAAATAAATTAATTAATTAATTAATTTTTTAAAAAAAAGGTCTGGGGATACAGTTCAATGCTCTCTGAATTCAGTCCCCTGCAGTAAAAAGAAGAAAAGCTAATGCATAGTGGAATTCACTCCCACACACAGCAAGTGTTCCATCTTTTATTACAACGGCACTGCAAGTACTTCAAAACTTAAAACTATCACCTGGTTATCCCCTAAAGCTGCTGCTTCCTGCTCAAAGGATCTTCCTAGGTCAGAATACATTACTTTAGTCTTATTTTCCACAGGGCCTTCTAGACCTGCTCCTGCTCAGAGTGAGAGGTAACCCACCTTATTCAGCAGCTGACAGGAGGAGGGATCAAGCAGAAGCTCAGCAGCTCATGAACAAGAAGGGCTGAGAGATGGGAAGACTTTGTCCAGAAAAAAATGTACCTATTTACCAGGTTTAGTGCATTAATTGTTTGTTTTTTGCAGTGCTGGGGTTCAAATCTAGGGCCTCGCAAACCCCAGGCACATGCTCTACCACTGAGCCCCAGCCCCAGCTCTGTACTCATCCTATTTACGGTCAGGTTCAGGGATTAAGAGTACCTGCTGAATCCAAAATGGTGGCCCAAAATTCCTTTGTTTTACAAGTTGGGTCATCTTCAGAACTTGACAGTTTGTAAAGGGATACACAGTGTGGAATCTTCTGGTTACTATACTTAGTTATAAAAAAGTCACAGTGCTAGAAGAAAGAGAAACAATTACATTTTTCTTCAGGAAAAAGTAAAAAACGTTATTTAGGTACATATACAAAGCTGGAGTTAGGGTTAAGCATTTTAAAGTTACTAATGAGGCTTCTGCTTCCAACTTCACCGATTTTCACATCATTCAAAAGGAGTCATACACAGGCGCAAGGTTTTTCTATGAGAGGAACCTTTCTTTTTTTTTTTTTTTGGTACTGGGGATCAAACTCTGGTCCTTGCTCTTGGGGAGGCAGGTGGTGGAACCACTGAGCTAAATGCCCGGCAATTGAGAGGAACCTTTCAAACAGGGCCTTAATACCTGGCTGATGCAGCAGGAGTGGGAATAGCCACGGTCAGTCAGCCTCATCACCTCTCCAGGGTTCACATAGCTGACCACGTACAGGTGGTGCTCTAAAGGGGAGTCTTTGGTGCCTTCAAAGTACACCAGCCTTCTGACTTCATCAACCTGGATCTGCCAAAACAACAACAACAAAACTGGTACCAGCATCACCCTGCCAAGGCCAGTAACTCAACAGACGACCCCTATTGTATTCAAAGTCACTGGGTCCTTTGACTTGTGCTTCTTTTATTTTTAGTTTGCTACCTGTGTTAATAAACTTGAGTTGGCTCTGCTCATGACTTATAGCTAAGAACAGATCCTATCCAGAAAGAAAAAGGACACCTGAGTCATACACACTGTACAATTTCCTATCTGGGCAGAATGTGTGCTTTTCTTAAAATATGAGAATTATTTCCTTAAAATAACTCTTTACATAGGGAAAAAAATAACCACTGTTGCAGCTGAAGTCAACCATTCTTATATACAGTAAAACCCTAGATTATGAGTAACATGTTCTGTGACTGTTCCCCAAGATGAACAAACATTTCTTATAAATTTTAACTGATAAATGAGTGATGTTTTGTATTTTGAAGAGTACACAATGCTGCATGTTGTATGATCACAACTGAGCCAATGGTTCCTCCCTGTATCTCTGTCTCTCTCACTCTCACTGCGGGATTGTGGGTGAGAGCCAACAGCAAGAGGTTATGGAGCTCTCGCCTGCAGAGGAGGAGAAAAAGGCAGAAGAATCCTTTATTTCAAATGAGATTAGGAGTAAATGTGTAAAATGTGGGAAACAGTGCAACACTGTGTAGAAAAGCACCACCTGACTAAGGCTGTAGCAGTGGAAGCGATGAATCTGTTTAACTATAGTGCAGTATCACACTTCTGCAAAATCCTCACAAGAAGGCAAAAGCAAGTGTCCTTGGATAGGTTCTTTGTTAAAGCTGCAAAGATTCCATTGAACCAATGGATAGCAGTGATTCAGTTAGTGACAGTGGAAGTTGTCCTACACAATAACCCTCCTCTCTTGTCTCCCTCACACCAGCCATGAAGATTTTCAAAGGTGGGCCGGGGATTTAGCTCAGTGGTTTCACCGCCTGCCTTGCAAGTGCAAGGACCCGAGTTCGATCCCCAGTACCAAAAAAATATATATACAAGTGCTTTGGATTACAAGCACGTTTTTGGAATGAATTATGCTCGCAAACCAAGGTTTTACTGTACCTGAAAGATACTAATTTTAATAATCTGTACATTTCTCAATTAGTGCAGTATTATCTCAGGCAGTCCTGTTTCTGCCTTTTGTACAAATATGTAAAAGGTGTTTTTTTTGGTACCGGGATCGAACTCAGGACCTTGCATTTGTGAGGCAGGCGCCGGAAACACTGAGCTAAATTCCTGGCCCTGTAAAAGTATTTATATCAACTGGGTTGGGAAACAGTTGAACTCAGGGTTTCAGTGGCATAGTTCATAAATAAGTACAGTATGGGAAAGAATTTATATATTTATTTGGTGCTGTGGATCAAGCCCAGGGCCTTGGACATGCTAGATAAGTGCTTTACCACTGAGTATCTCCCCGGATATGGATAAAATCTTTTAAGTAATCATTCAGATCTCAAAAAACTGCTAGTAAATTCACAGCTGAACTCACTTAATATTCTTGTCAAATTATAGCAATAGTTTATTATTCCTATAAATTTTTTTTCTCTAAGCCTACTCAATGTTTGATAAAACTCAAAATTTTTTACATAGCAAAGATAACACAGATACACCCCCTCCACCACCACCAGGAATTGAACTCAGGATCTTGTGATTGTCGGGCAGGGGTAGCACCACTGAGCTACATCCCCAGCCCACACAGATATATTTCTAAAAGCAAGTATTTTTATTTTATTAAAAAAAATTTTTTTGGTACGAGGGATCAAACTCAGGACCTTGTGCTTGTGAGGCAGGCGGTGGAACTGCCTAAACTGAGCTAAATCCCCGGCCAGGAAGCAAGTATTTTTAAACATCTCATCTTTTTTTCAGGAAACATTTTCATCATATTACATTTTTTTGATGGATGAATTAACACAGCTGCTAGATGAAACAAAATGTTCAAGAATCTTCACAGGTATGTGTTAATCTCTCCAAAAGACAGGACTAGTTCTGCTCTTAAGTAGCTAGGAGTCACCCTTTCAAAGCTGAAGAAATGGCCACTCAGCTCGACACACCCATTTACAATGGTTCTTTCCTTTCTTTCATGTAACTTCTTATGTTCACCAGCATTAGAACCTCTTGGGCTTGCTGAACAGACTGCTGGGCCCCACCACCAGGGTTTCTGATTCAGGAGGTCTGGGGTGGGCCCCACATCCTGAGTTTCTACCAAGTGCCAAGGTGATGCTGAGGTTTTGCTGCTAGCCCAGAAGCACACTCTGAGAAGCACTAAGAGTAAGAGGCACATAAGCTGAAGCCTCAAAGCTTATTGCCCAATTATTGCCATTAGAAATCTTTGGGCAGAACAAGGTCACTTGTAAAAAGCAAGAAGGAAAAAGGCAACTTAAAGACAAAAACCAAAACATGGATATAGGGAAAAGAGAAGAGGAAGAGAGAAAAATATATCACATAAATAAGCATGACATGAAGAAAACTCACACATGTAGTGGCAAATAGTAGGGTCATTGAGGTCACCTAAATAAGGGTCAGATCCACATAGATTAGTGAAATTTTCTGTTATCCAAACCTAGAATTCCACAATAAGATTTTTATTTATTTATATTTTTCGTACCGAGGATCAAACTCGGGTCCCTGTGCTTGTGCAGCAGGTGGCGAAACCACTGAGCTAAATCCCCGGCCCAATTTTTTTTTTTCTGGGGACAGTAACATCCAAGGTCCCTAAACAGAAATAAATACATAAATATAAAACTTTATATTTGTCCATATGTGAGAAGTGGAATGAGATTTTAAAGGGTGGGCCATGGATTTAGCTCAGTGGTTCCGCCACCTGCCTCATAAGCACAAGGACCCAAGTTCAATCCCTGGTACCAAAAAAAAAAAAGGTTGCCTATGATATTCTAAAGTATTTATAAATAAAAACTAATATGGGATGAGGATCATCATTCTTTCTCTTGAATCACTTTAGGGATTATGCTGATTTTTACAGTTGCCCCTATATGAAATACTTAGCCTGTAAATCTCCATCACTCTAAGGAATTCACATTGGAGCTTTGCTTAATCCTGGTAGTATACACCAACTTAATTATAAGAGTCAAGCAGAGAAAGAATGAAGTCTTACAGAACTAAGAAACTGGCCACCTAATTTAAAGCTGAACACACAAAGGTACCATGAAAAACAAAAAAAGTCACTGGACTGCTACAGAAGGCCACTTGGCAAGAGCAAAGCAGAGGGTGGACTTCCCTCTTCTTCCCCATCAATCTAAGCTCTGTATACACATAACTCTCTTTGTAGGTGATGGATAAAAGTTTAAATCTGTGAGACAAGATAAACAGATGAATGAGACTCATGAGCTCTGAAGTAATAAATGAAATTTCTAATGTAGAAACAATACAAATAGTCTGGTACAGATTTAAAAGTAACTTTCAAGTTATATCCTAACTCCTTACTTTCACTACAGCCTAAGTATGGATTACTCAATTATCAAGTAGAAATGTAGATTTGAAAAGTGACCTTTAGTAAATAACCACAGCACATCTAATACTAGGATTACTAAATAGATGAAATTTTATAGTTTAAACTAAGATTCTTCCTTCCAACAACTTGAGTTCTTTTAGGCCCTAAATTACTATTTTCAAAACACTAGGGTCATATTAAGTTGCATTACGATTTTTTGGAAATACATATACACAGCAGATGATGACCAAACATATGAGTAGAATAAAAGGACATACATTAGATCCATGCCGACCAAGAACTTCCCATTCACCACTGGTAATCGCTATTTCCTCTTTGATAGGACACTTGAAATCACCTAAAGAAAAATAGTTATAATTTAGTACTTTATACCACACTATAAGCAAATGAAACAATGTAGAATAGTGTTCTAAAAAGTGTTTTTACTAAAAAGCAGCATTTTAAAAAATCAAATTATGTTTGGGGTAATGAAAATGTTTTGGAGCTAGACAGAAGTGGTGGTTGTATAATACTGTGAAGTACTATTTGACATTGAATTGCTATCTATCTAGCTAGCTAGCTAGCTAGCTACCTGCTTGTAGTACTGGGTGTTGAACCCAGGGGTTTCTTATTTGTATTGTGAGTCAGGGTCTTATTAAGTTGGTAAATTGCCCAGGCTGGCCTTAAACTCACAATCATCCTGCCTCAACCTCCTAGAGTGCTGGGATTACAGACCTCTGTTGCCATGCACAGCTGGGTTGTTTATTTTAAAATGGTTAATATTAATAGAAATTTCACTTTAATTTTTAAAAGTATATAGTTAGTTTAGAAAACCCATTATTAGTTTTCATGATACTCAAATAATGATAGAATGACACATATAGATAATACGAAAACAGCAAAATAGATTATGCCAAAAGCACCACAAACTGGTTGGCAAGGCAAGTCTTCTAGAAATGCAACAAACTACTTTAAAAGCCAAACAAGAACAAAAAATTTTTTTTTTGGTATGGGGGATCAAACTCGGGTCCTTGTGCTTGAGCAGCAGGCAGCAAAACCACTGAGCTAAATCCCCGGTCCAAGAAAAATTTTAATATAACTGTTCATTCGCCTAAAAATCAATCCATAATAAAAGCCAATATGCCATATTTGTCTTTATAAGAGTCTGTCCTGATGAGTCTCTCACTGCCCTACGGAGGTTAAAAAATGAACATTCTTTTTCTTTTTCTAACTGCTTTAACTACAGCTGTACATAGTGACAGCTGAAGATCCCAAGTTTAAATATCAATTTATTTTTCTTACATACAAAAATTCAACTTGTACTTTAAACTCTATGAACAGAAAATAAAACTTTATTAACATATAGCTACACAACAAATATTAACAGTTTCACATTATAACCACTTAAGGAAGAAAAGAGGGGGAAAAGGGCCAGGGATTTAGCTCAGTGGCACTGAACCTGCCTTGCAAGTGCAAGGTCCTAAACTCAATCCCTGGTACCAGAAAAAAAGAGGGCCTGGGTATTTAGCTCAGAGGTTCCACTGCCTGCCTCGAAAGCACAAGGTCCCGAGTTTAATCCCCGGTAAGAAAAGAAAAGAAAAGAAAAGAGGGGGAAAAAGTTAAATTAGGTAGACATGAACAAAGAAAAGAGAAAAAAATTGGCAAAAAAAGAACAGGAAAAGCAAGGAAAGAAGAGAGAAGAGGTAGACAATCTGAGGGGCCTAGAGATACACAGACCCTGACAGGGAACAGAGGCTTGGCGTGTTGAGAATGTTAACTGAAGGAACAGCTTTTCTTACACTCTTCAGCTGGTATGCAACACGTTAAGTTATCAATTTCTTACTATGGTTCCAAAAATGTTGTTTTAGTTAATCACTTTTCACAGCCCTTTGATCTTTATTATCAACCTTTCTGGAATCCCTTAAGTGGACTTAATTTCTGAACTATAGAAGATCTGGTAAGAGCAATTACATACTCAGGGATAAACGAAGGCTCTAAGGAAAGAAAATCCCCATCTTGGATATATAAGACCTTGTCTGCCTTGAAACAATTAGGCTAAAAAAAGGAGCAGAGTCATAGATACATTTACTTTGCTAGTCTCAAGATGTAGCTTACTGCTTCCCAAGAGAAATGATAGTTAAAAGGCCATCTTAAAAAAAAAAAAAGCAACTCAATTAAAAATGGGCAAAGGACTTGAACAGACATTCATCCAAAGATACACAAATTGGCAGTAAGTATATGAAAAGGTATTTGACAACATTAATCATTAGGAAATTGAGACCATCTCACTCACTAGGATGGTTCTTATAAAAAATTCAGAAATATTAAATTGTCAAGGATATAAAGAAATTAAAACTCTTGTGTACTGCTGATGGGAAAGTAAAATAGTATAGCTACTACCAATGGTGTTACCAATGGTGCAACTATTATGGAAAACAGTATGGCAGTTCTTCAAAAAGTCAAACATGGAATTACCATATGACCCAGAAATTCCACTTTTTTTTTTGGTACTGGAAATTGAACTCAGGACCTTGTACTTGCAAGGTAGGTGCAGCGCCACTGAGCTAAATCCCCAGCCCTCCACTTCTGAATATAAAACCTCCTAAAGAACTGAAAGCTGGGACAGGAACAAAAAATTATATGCTCATGTCCACATAATAATGTCGATTATTCACAATAGTCCAAAGATGGAAGCAACCCAGCTATCTATCAATAGACACTGGACTAATAAAATATGCCATACATACATGGAATAGTATTCCCTTTTCTTCCCTTAAAGGGAAGAAAGTTCTGACACATGCTACTGGATGAAACTGGAGGACATAATACTACATGACATAAGCCAGTCACAATAGCACAAACACTGTAAAACTCCTCTTAAATAAGGTACCTGGAAGAGTTAAAATTCACAGAAACAGAAAGTGGTTGCCAGGAGCTGGGGCTGGATGAATAGGGAGTTATTTTTAATAAGAAGTTTCAGTTTTAGAAGATGAAAAAAATTCTGGAGATGGACAGTGATGGTGGTTACACAACAGAAATATACTCAATTCCTCTAAACTGTACTCTTTTTTTTTTTTGGTACCGGGGATCAAACTTGGGTCCTTGCGTCTAAAGTGTACTCTTAAAAATGGCTAAAATGGTAAATATTATCCACATTTTACCAAACTTTCAAAAAAGTCATGTTAAGTCTAAGTTACACATGGCAGCGTATAAACAGCATATAGCATAACTTATCATAGGGGCCGGGGCTGTAGCTCAGTGGTGCTATGCCCACCTGGCAAGCGCAAGGTCCTGAGTTTGATTTCCAGTAACCCCCTGCAAAAAAGCATAATTTATCATAAAGTGCTAAAACTATATTATTAAAGTCAAAGATTGTAGCTCAGTTTTAGAAAAACCCAGGAAAAAACTGAGGTACCATTTCACTTTATCCTTTTTGCTTTACTTCTGCAGTGCTGGGAATGGAACCCAGGGCCCTGGGCATACTAGGCAAGTGCTATGCCACTGAGTTACAGCCCCATGCCCTATTTCACCGTTTTTAGGCTTATGTATACATTCTGCATTATTTTCCAGAAAGCTAACCATCACTTTTTAAACAGAAATTAACATCAGCTAACATAGTATTTAACTTTAGGTAATACAATTCTGCCAATCTGAAGAGTTCTAACTATAAATTAAGTTCTGTGAGGATGAAGAGAATACAAGAAACAGCTACTGTACATAGAAGTAGGTAATAATTATATAATATTCTATGTTTTTGTGGTTTTTTTGGTACTGGGGATCGAACTCGGGTCCTTGTGCTTGCGCAGCAGGTGACAAAACCACTGAGCTAAATCCCCAGCCCTAATATTCTATGTTTTTATTGATTGGTTGGTTGTGGAGTGCTGGGATTGAACCCAGGTCCTCATACACAACAGGCAAGCCCTTTTATCACTGAGTCTTATCCCAGGACCCCCCCTTCTCTCTCTCTCTCTCTCTCTCTAGATATATATATAGATATATATATCTATATATATATCTATATATCTTTTTCCTTTAGTTTTCTCTCTGCTGTGTGCACTTTTTTGACGCGTGTGTGTGTGCGCGCACGCACAGTACTAGGTTGTAAACAGAGGGCCCTCACATTCAAGTACATCAACAGCCCTTTTTAAAATTTTGACACAGGATCCCACTAAGTTGCTAAATTGCCCAGGCTGAGCTTGAATTTACAATCTTACTGCCTCAGCCTCTCAGAGTGCTGAGATTACAGGAGTGTACCACCACACCAGGCCCCTTTATATAAAAATAAGTATTTCTACTTCCCAGAGATTATCCATTATTTATAGTTTATTATATACCCATCAAGAACTTTGTTCTGTTTTCACATGTGCATATATTTTATGTAGTATACTGAACTTACATATTAAAATTGTATTACTTATATATTAAATTTAATGAAACAAGTACTAATGCTTATAAAAAATACAAAAGAGATATTATATTCTCCTATCCCTCCCACCTTCTGTACTCAACATTTTTTTCTTCTTTTTAAATAAAAAAGAACTTACTTGGGGCAGGCAGCCTACCACTGGATCGTTTATATTTGCTCTCCTTTAAGATGGATGTGATTTTATATAAATGACGGAAACCTGTTTTGCATTCAGAGGCAAAAATAAATTCAATTTCATCTTCACGAGTTTGGGGAAAAACATGAAAGATGTCATGGATCTGTAAAATGAATAGCTTAACTTACTATACATATTAATGAAAATACTACATAAATAATTCAATTAAGATAGAGAAGGAAGAATTACTTGATAAATACACTTTGAAATATAAATAGTTGTCAGTGCTAGGGACGTGGTGTATTTAACATAATAGCTCTTGCCTGGCCCTTTCGTATTTTATTTTATTTTAGTCAAAGAGTTCCTCCACTGACAAGTGTTTCCAAATGGAAAGGAAAATGACCAAAAGCTTTTTCTTACTCAGCATCTCTGTAATCTTTGAAACATGGCATAGGTTTGTTTAATGATATAACTTTCACTACAGAAATGTTGAGGAACATTATTTTTTACTTTTGTTTTTCAAAGAGAAATATTCTAACAGTTGAGAGGAAACAGATGTTAGTTGAATAAAATGAAGCCCATAGTCAACTAGGGAGGGAGCTGGGTTTATTTATTTTGTATCTTGTTTAAGCTTTCATGCTAAAATGGAAAATTTTAAATTCAATTAAAAACCGGTATATTTTGGTGCAGTCTGCCAACCTGAAAGACAAGAGCCTTATCTAGACCCAGCTCTTCAAGCCCTCTCAAAGTAAGCTGACGCTGGAGGTGAGTCTGAGTGCTCAATACCTGCTGTGTCTAGGAGCAAATGTGGGTCAGCGAGTGGTCATTTCCATGGCACTACTTCCTATCTATGAACTATTCCATTCTGGAACCACTGCTCCTATTTGAAATGCTCAAACTAAGAAAATCACATTCACAGTTCCTCTAAACTTTAAAAAAAAAATTCATTTTGATAGTTTGCTACAAATTTCATTTGCTTTAGCATCCTGAAAAATATTTAGCCAAGTACAGGAAAAAATCCATACATTTATCCAGATGTCTGTGGTTTCTTCATAGATAATGAGTGGCGTCACAGAGTCAGGCACCGATTCGATGAGTCTCTGTCTTTCCATGGCATCATCCTCTACTGGGATAAATAATTCAGGCGAGATCAACACTATCTGTAGGCGAGTTTGGGAACGATCTAGTAGGATGGACCAAGCACTATTTAAACAAATAAAGAAAGCTCTCAGAAAATGAGTAATCCCCTATTCTCTTCCTAGATACCTATTATTTCTAAAATTACAATGAAAGAACTGCTTTGGTATATACTAAATTATTACATATAAATAACTAATTAAAAATACTCTACACTTACTTTAAAAAGTTAAGCCTGAAGCTGGGCATGGTGGTGTGTGCCTATAATCCTAGCACTCTGGAAGGCTGAGGCAGAATGATCGCCAAGTTTGAGTCTGGCCTAGAGAACTTTGTGAGACCTTATTTCCAAGTAAATAAATATTTTTAAAAGGAATTTAAAAATTGGCTCAGTGCAAAGGTCCTCAGTGTCCGGGGTAAAGCTGGAGGAGTGAGGGTGGAGGTCATAGGGAAAGCACTTGCCTAGCATGCATGAGGCCCTGGGGGCCGACGCTGAATACGTTTTTTTGCTTGTTTGGGGTAAAAGGGATCAAACCCAGGGATGCTGACCTATATCTTGAGTCCTTTTCCTCTGAGATAGGCCCTCCCTAAATTGCCCAAACTGGCCTTGAACTTGTGATCCTCATGCCTCAGCTTCCAGAGTAGCTGGCACAAACAGGCATGGACCACTGTACCCAGCTTGAATAGTTTAAAAAAGTGTTTTTAACTTTCCCAAATCGTGGTTGACCTTTTTGTTGGGGGTAGGGCAGGGTCTCACTATGTAGCTCAAGCTGGCCTTGAACTTGTGGTGATCCTCCTGCCTCAGCCACCTAAGTGCTGGGATTACAGGTGTGCACCACCACGCTTGGCTCATGGTTGGCCTTTGAAACTGTTTTTTTTCCCTTTAGCATCCACAAAAGCCAGTCTCAGAAAAACTACTGTCTGTATTAGGCATATATACTTACAAGGATCTACAAATATTTCTGCCTAAATTATACAATTTAAAAAACTATCACATTTTATGTGTGAGCTTTAAGTCACACAATTTAACCACAACACTGTGAACCATGACTGGCTAAGTGAGAGAACTAACATACTATTATATGTATGCTTATAGGATTACAAATTCCCAAGTCCACTTAGTGTAGGAAACGTCTCTAGGGCAGAAATAACTTCACTGAAAGTTTACATTTCTAGCTCCCACCCCATGGCAAACCTAATAGCACAGATATTTCTAAAACTCTGGATCCTAAATTGTTTGTAAAGAAGTCACAATTTAACATACGCACTGTTTTCCCTCTGGAGTCCATCCAGCTCTGGCAATATATTCAACTCCTTCAAACAGAATCTCAAAAGGCTGAATTAGTTCTTTATCTATGACATCTATAATCTATTAAAAAGGAAAAAAAAGGAATTTCATTATAGCGTTAGAAAAATAATTAGCTCACTAGACTATTCAAGTCATCATCTGTAACAGTAGAATACCCTAGACTCAGGTATCTAAAAAGCCACAAAACAAAAGTAAGTCCAGGGTTACATATACAAGGGCTTTTTATTCCTAAATAAACAAAACAAAACAAAAAAATTTCTAACCCCAAGAATAAGCACAATCTAGGGCCAGGGATTTAGCTCAGTGGTTCCGCTGCCTGCCTTGCAAGCGCAAGGTCCCAAGTTTGATCCCCGGTACAAAAAAAAAAAAAGCCAATCTAAAAGGCTTTTTGTTTGGGTTTATACTAACAGAACCTTTGACAATAACTGATATAATCATGATTTAATCACTTTAGGATCTAGTATCCAAGAAAAATAATAGTCTTTTGTTTCCTATATTTTAGTCTATGTTAAGTGCAATATACAAATGAAATGACCCAGGTAAGCAAATTTTTTGTCCCTTAAAGGTCTAACAAACACAGTTTTAAAAATAAATAATTTTTAAAAAATGATGAAAGAATTTGAATAGTCCCCCAAAGAAGATATTTAAGTATCTAGTAAATACAGGAAAAAATGCTCAACAGCATTGGCCTTTAATGAAATGTAAATTAAAACTACAATGAGATATCACTTCAAACCCACCAGGATGGTTATAATAAATAAGATGGACAATCAATCACTAGTGTTGGTGATGATATAAAGAAATTAGAAATTTAGGGTGACTGGAAAACAATTTGGCAGTTCCAGAAAAGATTAAACAAGCGTCATCACATGATCCAACAATTCTACTCCTAGGTATGTTACCTAGAAAACTGCAAATATGAGCCCACACAAAAGCTTCTACTGTATATACGTATTCAAGTAATTTTATTTCTAACAGTAAAAAAGGGGACAACCAAAAAATATCCATCAACTGATGAATGGATAAATAAAACGTGTTATTTCATACAGTGAAGTATTATTCAGCAATAGAAATAAAGGAAATGTAGCTCAGTAGCAGAATAGTAGAATGTGGGAGGACCTGGACTTTGATCCCCTGGGGGGAAGAGATAGAGAAAGAGAGAGGAAGTGCTGATACATGGATCAAACAAAACAGAAAGTAGATTAGTGCCTGCCAAGAGCTGAGGGATACGGGGAGGTTGAGTGGATGTCAGGTTTCTTTCTGAAGTGACAATGTTGACCGTAGTTGTAGACAAAATTGACTGTAGTTGCTCAATTCTGTCAATGTACTAAAAGCCAGTGAATTTTAAACTTTAAATAAATGAACTGTACTATCTGTAAATTGTATCCCAGTAAAGCTACATTAAAAAAAAAAAATTCTAATAAGAGCTGGGCGAGGTGGAGCACACCTGTAGTTCCAGCACTCTGGGAGGCTGCAGCAGGAGGACGGCAAATTCAAGCCCAGCCTGGGCAGCTGAGCCACTCAGTAAGACCCTGTCTCAAAATAAAAAATTTTAAAAGGGCTGGAGATGTAGCTCAGTGCAAAGTCCTAGATTCAATCCCCATTATCATCACACACCAAAAAAAATTCTAGCAGAGAAAGCTGCTTTTTAACTCATCCTGCTGAGTGTGGAGCTTAGGAGCTCTGATGTCGACGGAGAGCAGCAGTACAAGAGGAAGGGGGCACATTTTTTTTGTTTTGTTTTTTTTGAGGTACCAGGGATTGAACTCAGGACCTTGCACTTGGAAGGCAGGCAACAGTGCCACTGAGCTAAATCCCCAGTCCCATAAGTGAGTTTTTTGTTTTTTTGGTACTGGGGATCGAACTCAGGACCTTGTGCTTGCAAGGCAGGTAGTGGAACCACCAAGCTAAATCCCTGGCCCCAAGGGGCACATTTAATCCACCACAGATATCTACCCAAGACAGAAGAGAAACCGCCACTCAACAACCACCCCTTTTTTAAAAATACACTGACTAAAAAAATTAATAAGAAAAACTATTGGACCAAAAAAAAAAAAAAAACTATTGGAAAGCAGTGGTAAATAAGTCTACCCCCATATTCTTATCTTGGGACCAGCAGAAAGTTCTGAAATCAGAAAATTAAGTCAAAATGGAAACAAAGCTTTTGTACATAGGTAGGGGAGGGGGCTTGAGGGAGGGGATGGGATAAAATAAAATTTACTTTTAAAATTAAAAAAAATTAAGTCAGTACAAAAATCATGATCCACAGATATCTAAGCAAGTTCAATGAATCAAAAAAATAAAGTGTATCAAATACTCCTTCTAGACTCATTATACTAGTCCAGAGATACACAGAAAATCGGCACTGCATTCTATACTTACCCTTCCTTCAGCATCGATCATTATTTCCGACATCTTAAAAGTGACTTTTGGATTTGCTGTGCCTTTAGAAAAAGATGTAAATCGATAGTAATCCATATTCAAAATTACTCAAACTAATTTTGTCTTTGGGGCTGGGGATTTAGCTCAGTGGTGCGGCCGCCTGCCTCGAAAGTCCAAGGACCTGACTTCAATCCCCGGTAACAAAAAAAAACCAAAACAACACCCCAAAAAACTAACTTTGTCCTATCAATCCTCTTTATACTTTAGTTAAGTCAGTAATATTGCATACAGCTGGAGCTTTATCACACAAGAATCTGAGCTGCATCTCAAATTCATACTTTTTAGTATATTTTTTTTAAAGAGGCTGAAAACACAGAGTCAGTTTGAAATAAAGGGAAATTCTGTAGCATTTTTATAGCTGATATGCCACAAACAGAAAAACAATTAATTTACTCTAATAAAATCACTTAAAAATCTTTATTTGGTGGGGAAGATACTTATTTCTTGAAGTAATCAGTTTTGTGAGCATCTGTACCTTTGAAAATAATTTAAAAGGACCAGCCTTAATTAAAAGTCTTAGTGACATTTAATCAACAAACCATCCTTACTAAGGCTGTACATGATCGATATATACTAAACTTTTACAGAAATAACACTTTTTAAAAAAAAGAAATAATCTTATTTAGAAGAAAATGAATGAAAATAAATGTCAGTGGAATACAATACCTGTTTTAGGGTAACGAAATGAATCTGCCCTCCTTGTTTCCAACATAGGGGATGTTACATGAATAATCTCCACTTCAGATTCATCATTTTCTTCATATAGAATTCTAAGAATTTTACCACCACTAGGAGCTTAAAAGAAATTTAGATATTGAAGATTTAAAAGAATTATTCCAGACAGTAGTCATCACTGACCATTTCCTCTTGTATTAGATTTCTCATAGTAAAAAATAATTTATATAGAAACATGCTGCCATTTATCTATTTATTTGCAGTGCTGAGGATCAAACTCAAGGCTCTGCCACATATCACTACTGAGCTCATGCTGTCTTTTAGGTATGAAAATATCACTAGTCTTTGTGGTAGCAAGGTGAGTTACCTTAAGTCATCTTTACTGGTTAAAGATTATTCTTTTTGGAAGAAAAAGCTGAGTAAATACATATACCTTTAAAATAGGTAAAATATATTTTTCTTGGGCCGGGGATTTAGCTCAGTGGTTCCGCCGCTTGCCTCACAAGTGCAAGATCCTGAGTTCGATCATCGGTACCAAAAGAAATACCACTGCACTAAATCCCCGGCCTGTACAATATATTTTTGAAGGACTTTGGCCTGGTAAATCTTAAAATACATTCTTTGTTGAAAGAAGATTTAATTAATCTTGTAACATTTAGGTGGTCATGGTGGCGCATGCCTGTGATCCCAGCACTTGAGAGGCTGAAGCAGGATTGCCATGAGTTCAAAGCCAGCCTGAACTACAAAGCAAGATCCTGTCTCAACACCCCCCCCAAACAACAACGACAACAACAAAAATCTAAATTTATAACATTTGCTGGGTATGGTGCCGCACACCTACAATCCAGCACTAGAGATGCTGAGACAGAAGGATTGCTATGAGTTGGAGGCTAGCCTGGGCTACATTGTGAGACTCTGTCCCCCCCACAAAAAATTTAAAGGCCAAGGATTTAGCTCAGTGGGGCCACGACTGCCTCCCAAGCACAACGTCCTGAGTTTGATCCCTGGTATCTGCCCCCCCCCAAATTATAACATTTCCTATAAAATGCTACTTAAATTATGTCCACTTGTTTTGAATGGTTTCTCTAAGTCAAAATCTTTTTTTTTTCCCCAGAGGCATGGTGCCTCTGAGCTAAATCCCCAGCCCTCTAAGTCAAAATCTTATGCTAATAAATTTAACTATGGTAGAACATTTTCACCTTGAAATAAAATGTTTAAATCTAAGGTATGGCTTAAAAATAAATATTTCTTTTGGTCCAATAAAGAAATGGTAAGGGCCGGGTGTGGTGGCATATGCCTGTGATCCCAGAACTCAGGAGGCAGAGGCAGGAGGACTGCCCTGAGTTCGAGGCCAGCCTGGGCTACATGCTGAGTTCAGGGCCAGCCTGAACTACAAAGTGAGACCCTGGAGGCCGGGGATTTAGCTCAGTGGTTCCAGCACCTGCCTCAAAAGTGCAAGGTCCTGAGTTTGATCTCCAGCGGTACCATAAAAAAACAAAACAAAAACAAAGTGAGACCCTGTGTCAAAAAACCAAAACCAGGGGCTGGGGATTTAGCTCAGAGGTGCTGCTGCCTGCCTCACAAGCACAAGGTCCCGAATTCGATCACTACCAAAAACAAAAACAACAAAAAGAAAAAGAAATGTTAGACTACTACCTATAAAACTGTTAGTTGATCTACTAATGAGTCATAGCCAGTATTTTTAAAATATAACAAACAGGAAAGAAAAATAGTACCAGAGTGCATTATATACAAGGGTAAATATTGCTTCAAGGGTAAATTTGCTTTATCTATACAGTATATGTAAAATATGTTAGGCTTGGACTATAAGTAAAAAAAAAAAATTTTTTTTTGGTGTTTTGAGACAGAGTCTTATGATATAGTTCAGGCTGGCTTGAACTCATTATGTACCCCAGGCTGGGCTCCAACTCGTGGTGATCCTCCTACCTCAGCCTCTTGAGGGCAGGGATTACAGTCGCATGTCACCTGGTTATAAGCAAATTTTAAATGGCATCATAGTCAAAACGTTTGCAACCCACTGCTTTAGAGAGGTATTTATCAGGCAATAAACTAGGGTTTTTTTAAAATAAACTAGTTTTTTGGAAGTTTTTTATTTTTTGTTTTTATGGGAGATTGAACCCAGGGCCTTCTTACTGTTTTTATTTTAAGACAGGGTCTTGCTCAGTTGCTAATTTGCTCCAGCTGGGCTCATACCTGTGATCTTCCTCCCTCAGCCTTCTAGAATGCTGGGATTACAAGAGTGTACCACCACACTGACCTCAGTGAATTACTTTTGAATTCACCCGGAAAAAAGGAATTTTTCCCTCTTTTCCATATCCATTCCTACACTGATTTGATCATCTGTTCATGTAGATTCGCTACTCAACCATACATTCTCCATAGCAAATCATTAAAGTATTGTATATTTTACCATAATATTGCCAAAATTATCAAAACCAACTTTTAAGTGAAAAACTGACAGAGAATAAAATTCTGAGGTTCTGAACTAAATATATTTGTTTTTACTGCAATTCATTATGGTGAAATATAGTCTATATATTCTAAATATCTACAATATCTGTCAAAATTTTAGAATCTGTTATCCAAAATTGAGAATCTATACACTTAACTGATTGACAACTGAATCTTTAGTACTTTAATCAACCTATAACATATTGCGCTCCTTACTTGTTTCAGCTTCTGGACACCACCAATAGCCAGAATATCTGTCAAATTCTTCTTGAAGAACAAAGGTGGCTACTCCAGCTGACCTGGGATCTTCTTCCATGTTAGCAAGCTCTGGACAAACAGAAAAGGCAAAATTATAACAAAAGCTCTCTTTTCATAGAAACAAAGCAAAATGATTCAGTTACTTTGAAAGGCATCTCAATGTAGTGGGGAATTCTGGAGCTAAATCTGAGTTCAAATCTAGACTCCACCATTTACTTATTGTCTGACTTTGGGGGAAATCACTCAATCTCACGCTGATGCAACATTCTGTTTGTTAAAGGGAGAAAAAGCCTGCCTTCTCAGGGTGTTATGTGGATTAAATTAGTTAATTTACATAAAGCATTTACAGCCTGGAGATGCTCTATAAATATTACTTAGTATTTTTTTCCACTTACCTAGGATTACAAAAAAACCCAATGTATGTAAAAGGTCATGGTGACTTGTAACTCTCTTACATAGAAAACAAAATCACAGGGCCGGGGATTTAGCTCAGTGGTTTCACTGGGTGCTGCACAAGCGCAAGGGCCCGAGTTTGATCCCAGGTACCCCCCCCCCAAAGAAAACAAAATCACTTAAAAACTTTTATTTAGTAGGAAAGACACTTTCTTACTCATGTGTCAGTCATTTATTCCTAAACTGCACTGTATTTATACTACTATTTTTTCATCATCTCATCTGTTAACGGACATTTGAAAGGCTGATTCTGGTTTTTGCCTGTTATGAACAAATATGCTATGAATATTCTTGCATAAAATCTTCTGTGGAAATGTGTTTTCATTTCTTTTGAGTAAGTACCTAGGAGTGGAATGGCTGGGTAATAAAATAGGTGTAGGTTTAACTTTATAAGAAACTCCAAGCAGTTCTCTAAAATATTTGTATTATTTTATATTCTTACCACCGACATATGGAAGTTCCTCTCCAACATTTGGTGTAATCTAGTGATGTGTAGTAATATTTCACTTACTGCTTGATTTTTATTTATTATTGATTGTCATATTGGTGCTAGGGATTGAACCTGGGCCTTCGCACTAAGTTACATCCCCAACCCTCTTAATATTTTTTTATTTTGAGATAGGGTCTTACTCAGTTGCTAAACTGCACCAGCTGGGTTGAAACTTACAATCCTCCTGCCTCAGTCTCACAGAGTGATGTGATTACATGCATGTTCTACCATGTCCAGCTGTGATTTTAATTTTCTAGGCAAGGTTTTTTTTTGGGGGGGGGCACAGCATTTTGCTACATGTTGCCCAGGCTGGGCTCAAGTTGCCCAGGCTGGGCTCAAGTGCTCCTCCTGCTTCAGCCTCCCAAGTACTAGGACTACAGACACCATATTGCCACACCCAGCTTAAGCAAGACTTTATTTTTACTTATATATATTTTCTATATTGTCTGACATGAAGGTATAGTCTGAACCAATAGTCCCTAACTGAAAAATGTTGAGTTTAAAAGTATTTGGAGCTCAGAATTTTAGGTATTTTCCACATATTGTGCATCTCTATATATTATGCAACATCTCCAGCAGAGTAATCAAGTAAGATGTAATCAAATACCGAAATATTCTTGCAGCAAACTTATGCATAGGGAAGCTGAGTAGGATTAAGATTATAAATAACCTCAGGGCAGTTCAGGTCAGGCTTTCCTACCAAATGAGATTTAGTAACAAGCTAATGAAAACTTATCTGTTTTCAGAGCTCTTTGAATTTTGGAATTAAAAACAGAGCAAAGACCAGTGTTTCATTTTCTTGGATCATTCAACTATCCCAAAACTACACCCCCAAATCTATTTTATATTTTGCTCTCCTTTAGATATGAGGACAAGTACCATTGGTATCACCCTATCACTTACTACAGACCTCGATTATTAAGAGCTATACTTATTGAGCTGTGTGTGGTGGCACATGCCTATAATTCCAACACTCTGGGAGGCTGATAACAGAAGGATGCAAACTCGAACCCACCCTAGGCAACTAAGTCACTTAGTAAGACCCTGTCTTAAACTAAAAAGTTAAAAAAGGCTGGGATTGGGCCGGGGATTTAAAAAAGACTGGGATGTAGCTCAGTGTGAACGCCCTGGGTTCAATCCACAGTACAGCCCCTCACCATTCCCCAAAAAGTTACTTTTTTTTGGTACTGGGGATCGAATTTGCGACCTTGCACTTGTGTGGCAGGCGGTGGAACCACTGAGCTAAATCCCCAGCCCCCAAAAGTTACTTATTAATTGAATAAATGCTGTCATCTTGTTCTCCCAATAAAAGAAATTATTTAGGAGCAGAAGCTAGTATTCTATTACTTTTTAATTCCTCTATCGTATTAGCAAATAAACACATGCACACGCTGATTGGCCAAACTCACTTTCTACTTGGACTTTGACTTGGACACTACTGTGAATAAATAGACTGGGTGGATGATGGCTTGTAAAGTTCCAAACACTTCACAAATACTACCTCACTGAAACCTCCTAACAATTTTATAAGTTAATATGTAATTAATGTTTTTACAGATGTAGAGGTAAGTTAAATAACTTGATGAGGTCACAGAATTAACAATGTGGGACTTAAACCAGAGAATGTGATTTCATACAGTATTCTCCAACTGCATTAACTATTAAATTATTTTTAAATAATATTGTAAATACATCACACACCTACATCCACAGTAAAGAAAAAAACAACTATAATATCGTGCACGATTCTAGTGCTTTCTAATTTAAATCCTGCCAATCTTCATAAATCCTGTGTAGAAAGCAATTTTACAGAAGAAAAAGAAAAAAAATAGAACTAAAAAGTACCTTAATTTTGTCAGAGCTCTGCAGTCCCAACCTCAAGTGCAATAACTGGAATGTAGTGAATACTTAATGTCGAAAGCATGAAAACACAGCTTGGATCTCCAACACGGACTCACTAACTATGCAACCCAATTGTTCTGCTGCCATGGATAGCTGTTCTGATTTTCTGACTTAAAAAGGAGACCCATGAAACTTCAAAATCTCCTCTTTTAAACTGAAGGTTTTCCCTACTCCACCCCTTTTTCTCTATCCTTTCCTCTAGTTTTACATCATGGATCTCCAGTAATTGCAACAACCAAGTTTTGTTGTCCCTGTCTCTAGTCTTGTCCTCTCAAATATGACTTCTACAAAGTATTCAGCACAATTTATCTGTAATGTGACTAACATCACTCAATCGTTACAGTCTTTTTAATGGATCTGCACCTCATGAGAAATCCACATCCCATTTACATGAGATCTGCTCTACCCTCACGCTGGCCTTTCTTGACACATAGCTCACGCTGTGGGAGCACCACACTGCTTCTAACTCCTCACACGCAGCAGGGCATCTTTTGCACTGAGACCATTCTAGTGCAGTGCCCCTGTCAGGAGTGTACCGGCTGACAGACAGACATTACTGAAGATCAGGGTGGGTGTCATCCTCTCTGGGAAGCTTTCTCTGACTACTGTCTCTTGTCAGTACCCTCATAATGCCTGCTATTTGATTGTCACTCCATGTTGTTGTTTTCTGTTTATGTAGTTTCCCAGGACTGTCTCATTCAATCTGTACCCTTAGTACAGCTGTCCTCAGTATATGGGGAGGACGGGTTCCAGGGTCCTCCTCTGATAGCCAAACCTACAAGTGTTCAAGTCCCTAGGCATGGTAGTTGCATATAACCTATGCACAACCTCATGTGTGTGTGTGTATATATATATATTTTTTTTTTTTTCTTTTTTCGGTACCAGGGATCGAACTCGGGTCCTTGCGCTTGCAAGGCAGGCGGTGGAACCACTGAGCTAAATCCCCAGCCCCACATGTACATTTTTTAAAAACCTCTTGATTACTTATTATTACTCATACAATGTAAATGGTATGTAAATATTTGTCACACTTTATTGTTTAGGGGATGATGACAAGAAAAAAGTCTGTATGTACATGTTCATTACAAACAACCGTCGTAGTCCTAACTGTACAGTAATGTAGTAGATATGAATCTGCCACACTGCTAGGAACACCAGATCTTAATGGCTTTTTATGGACTGATTGAACATTGTAGTGGAAGACCCCTGATTTAGCACTTTTTTTTTTTTTTGTACCAGGGATCAAATTCGGGACCTTGCGCTTCTGAGGCAAGCGGCAGATCAGCACTTTTTTTAGCAATGTAAATTGTTCAAAGGCTTCAAAACACATTATCCTCATGGTAAAAAGTATTTGCTGTTAATTAAACTATTGCATGCTAAAATAATTTAGCTCAAATTCAACCTTAACCAGCAAATTTCCTGATCTACTATGGCACACAATGATCTCCTCTTCAAAACTTGTGTACAGGTTACTATTTCTTTATTTGGCTATGCTATAGCACTGTTTTCAATTGTTTGAGATAGTTCCCAAATAAAAGAAAAAACAAAGTGAGGGCAGTAGCCAGGCGTGGTGGAGCGCTCCTGCAATCCCAGCACTTGGGAGGCTAAGGCAGGAGGATTGCTGTGAGTTCGAGGCCAGCCTGAACTAATAGCGAGACCCTGTCTCAAAAAAAACAGGGTAGAAGGCCAGGGATTTAGCTCAGTGGTTTCGCCGCTTGCCTTGCAAGCACAAGGACCTGAAGTTTGATCCCTGGTGCCAAAAAAAAAAAAGGGTAGAATCTATCAATTTTTTCCAATTCAAAGTCTATTGTAATCTCCGTAATTACCTATAATTAATGAATAATGATGGTGAGGGGATGATTAAGAAAGATGACCAAGCCTGGCATCATAACACATTCCTGTAATCCCAGCATTCTGCAGAGCCAAGGCAGGAAAATTCCAAGTTTGAGTCCAGCTTGGCAATTTAGCAATTTAGTGATACCCAGTCTCAAATTAAACAGAAAAAAGAGCAGTAGCGATGTAGTTCAGTGGAAAGGCCCTGGATTCAATTCCCAGAATGGAAGGGGGAACATCAGATTAAACAAAAGTTGGACTAATAAAATTTCAGTCACCATCCTTCCTTATGGAGTTTTATTTTAACCTCTATTTCACATGTTCAAAGAAAAATCAATACACTATTTCCCATCTTTCATTTGTATGAAATCTTTAGAGGATAATATTTACATCTTTTCAGTATTTTGAATAATGCTTTGTATTACTGTAGCCACTTCAATAAAATTTAATTAAATATTCCATAATCCACATGGTTCTACAAAGTTCTGTTTTTCACATAACGACAATAATATTAAGTAGACTGTTCAGAATGGCAATATTAATTTTCAGATAGTTTCTGATAGTGTATACTTTCTTTTTCTGTTTGTTTACCAAAACCAAGACTAACTGTTTTCTTCTTTTTGTGATGGGGTCTTGTTATTTTGTGCAGGCTGGTCTTGAATTCCTGGGTTCAGGTGCTCCTGCCTTAGCCTGCCAAGTGACAGGACTACAGACATGTACCCAGGCATGGTAGCACAGCAAAACTTTATTTTAGTAGGCACGATTTTGGGAAAATTCTGTCAGTCTTACTAGTTTAAAAGAACAATCATGTCAGGTACACCATGTTATGGTGCTGTTTGAAAATAAATTTAAAACAAAGCAGCATCATATACGCACAGACCACTTACCCCAGTAATTTCTGTATATTTTTAACTTTTAAAGACTTGAATTTAAAATATAAAGATTACTAAGCTTGCTTCAATTTTAAAATGAAAGCAGAAGCAAATTAAACTCCAAAAGAAACTTTTCAGAAAAGATTTGAAGACCCATGCCTTACCATTGTGCACATAGGTGAGCCTCCTTTCTTCTCTGGTTATAATGTTGGACACCCAAATATCATTGCTATGAATAAAAGCAATCCAGTCTGGATCAGCAGGGCATAATTTTGGATCCATTCGTATATTGGGACAACTAGTTTCCACTAAACTGGGCTGTAAAGGTTGTTGCTAAAAAGGTAAACAACATTTTAAGGTAGGTATCAGGCTGATGCATACACATTTGTTTGCCAGCACCCTTTCTATTTGATGACTATTTCTAGGTAAAATGTCAACTATAAAAACTGCTCTCAGAAAAACATACTTTGAACTGCTTTAACTTATAAAGAAGGACTCACTTTTTATTATGAATGAAAAGGCTAAGAGTAATAGGAGATACTGTATTAGTAAAGGTGATATAATAAAAGACAATATCACATTCCAATACAACTACACAAATTTTGTTGGTCCAATCTGTTTAATGGATTATTTGTTAAGTATTTACTTAAGTAAATATTAATGTTTCCTTATTAAATATTTATTAAACAACTTAAGATTAATTTTAACCAATAAAAACAGCCCACTCACAAAAATGTAATGAAAGCCAGGATCATCACAATTCTATGAAAAGAATACCTCCGTAAAGAATTGCTAAGCAGCCAGCAATTTAGCTCAGTGGCACCTTGCCTGCCTCGCAAGTGCAAGGTCCTGAGTTTGATCACCAGTATGGCGGGGAGGTGTACTGCTAAGTAGGCAGGCCTGGTAGTGCACACCTGTAATCCCAACATTCTGGGAGGCTGAGCCAGGAGAATTACAAATTTGAGTTTAACTTGAGCAATTTAACAATTTAGTGAGAACCTATCTCTAAATAGAAAGGGGTGAGGATTTAGCTTAGTCCAGAGGCCCTGGGTTCAATCCCTGGCACTCAGTTGGATGTGGTGGCTCACGCCTGTAATCCCAGCACTTGGGAGGCTAAAGCAGGAAGAGTGGCCTGAGTTCTAGGACAGCCTTCACTACATCTTGAGTTCAAAACCAGCTTTGAACTACAGAGTGAAACTCTGCCTAAACAAACAAACAAACTATCCCCAAAACTGAAAAATAAACTTCTAAGAATAAAACCAAGAACATAAAAATTTTTGAGATGAATTAGCTTTCAAGACAACCAAAAATGAATTGCCCTGTGATAACATCTTTAACAATCTCCTTCAGTGCTTACATAGAAAATGGAAACTGATTCCCTTTACTTTATCATCCTATATAGCAAGAGTTTTGAGCACTTTAAAATTTTTATCTTAATGTCACTGGAAAATTATTAACTCTTAAAATTAGAAATTAGTATTCTATTTCTTGTTTTCACTCTAAATACATTTCTTTCCTTCCTTCTCCTCCCTCCCACTTTTGTGTACTGGGAGTTAAACTCAGGGAGCATGGAGCCCAGTCTTTTCTTTTTTTTAATTTTGAGACAAAATCTTACTAAATTGCTGAGGCTGGCCCTGAACATGTGATAGTCCTGCCTTAGCCTGCTAAGTAGCTAGGATTACAGGTACGTACTACCAAGCCCAGCTATAATTAAATTTCTTAGTTGGTAGGTTGTTATGGCTTATATCTACATGTACCCTCAAAGCTTCATGTGGTCATAGGTGGAGCTTTCGGAGATGGCTAGATTTAGGGTGTGTGATGCTGGAATTAATGGTCTAACGCTGGGATTAAGGGTGCCCCACCCTGGGTGTGAGTGCTTCCCAAAGAGCAGATAGCCTGGGTGGGATATAGGGGACAGAAAGAGGGCTGCTGCTTCTGCTTCTGCTGTTTTGCTGCTTGACTGCTACTGCCTCCTGCCTGCTCTGTGATGCCCCTTGCCATGCCACCCTGCCTTGGAGCCAGCTGATTATGGACTGAAACCTCTACAAACTATGAGCCAAAATAAACTCCAGGTATCAAGTATTTTATTTCAGCAACGAGAAAATTAACTAGGACAGCGGGTAAAATGAAGTTTCTATTTATTTTTTAGTTATCTTTCTGATTCAAGTGCAAATCTTGAGGACCCCAAATAGATTTAACAAACATTAACTCCAACTTACCGTAAATCCTTGTGGCCCTCCATCTTTTACGTGATAAATTCCACTACCAGCCTGAAACAGAAATGTTCCACTTCCTTGGTGATAATCATAAGAAGCAATTCCAACTGTTCCAATCCGTTTTCTTTCTCTTAATAGTTCTTCTTCTCGAGAATACATTCCATAGTCCAGTGTTGCCTGTTAGAAAAGGAAAGTCATCTATTCCAGTCTTTTGAAAACTTGCCTTTGGCCGGGGATTTAGCTCAGTGGTTTCATCACCTGCTGCGCAAGTGCAAGGACCTGAGTTCGATCCCCGGTACAAAAACAAAAAAAAAACAAAAAAAAGAAAGCTTGCCTTTGCTTTTAACACTGAAATCCTAGCAACTACAATATTATTAAGTCTACATTTTGAATGACCTGAAAATTTCCAAGAACTTTAGACAGGTTAATTTCAGGAAGTCTGCTAAATGATTTTTTGGTAAAGGTTCATTAGATGATTACTGTATAGGGGCCAGGGATTTAGCTCAGTGGTTCCGCTGCCTGCCTCACAAGTACAAGGACCCAAGTTCGATATCTGATACCAAAAAAAAAAAAAAGAAAAAGATGATTACTGTATATATCAGACAATAAGAATAAAATCCAATAGTTTTACATGCAATTAAAATACAAACTTTTAAGTCAAGTAGTTTAAATCAGGCTTTGATCTCCCTTTCCTGAAAGTCAGACCACAAGCAGACATGTAAGTTCCTCAAATTTCCCTCACTGTCAAACAGTAATAAATTATCTGTCCCACCCTGTGAATATTAATATAGCTAAGATATGTAAGCTGAATAGCACAATTACTGGCACAGAGAAAGCTCTCAAATCTCTCAGTTGTTATTAGTACCTTTCCACTGTATCTATCAACACTACTCTAACGAAACCCTAAGTCAGGGATGGCGACAACAGCTGGCTGCAGCACATGTGCCATAGGTTCACTTCCACTGCTCTAGGTCAAGCTGGTCACATCACTGACTTAACACCCGAGGTGTGTCAGCATGCACAAGGTCCTGGGTTCAACCCTCAGCACCAAAAAACAAAACAAGACCCCAAGGTGTGACTTCTGGTTCCTTCCCTCTTTGGGTACTGGGGATCAAACTCAGGACCTTGCGCTTGAAAGGCAGGTACGATGCCACTGAGCTAAATCCCCGGCCCTTCAAAAATTTTATAGGTATGATTTATTACTTATTTGGCAGTAGTACTGTTTTTCAATTTTTCAGTGTATTTCCTAACTAGAAGGAAAAAATCCTTGAGCAGAATCTGTCATTTTATTCTTCTACCTACATTACCTTTACAATCAGTGTCAAAGAATGTCTGTAATTATCTGTAACTACAGCTGATGATAAAGGGCTTTCCCAAGATATTATCTGATATGTGTATATATATTTTTAATTTTTAAAAATTTTATTATTTTGAGACAGGGTCTCACCATGTAGTTCAGGCTGGCCTTGAACTCACTACATAGCCCAGGCTGGTGGTGGACTCATGTGATTCTCTTGCCTTAGCCTCCTGAGTGCTGAGGTTGCAGGCATGTGCTACCATGCTGGGCTATAGTTTTTATGCATACATTTTTGGGGGGTACCGGGGATTGAACTCGGGTCCTTGCGCTTGCGCAGCAGGCGGCGAAACCACTGAGCTAAATCCCCAGCCCTTAATTTTGATCTTTTTATCTGTTTGAAATATCTCTTAAAACTGTTCTCAATGAAGCCAAGAGCAATTCTAAGTACATGATTATGTCTGAATTTCTTCACTCATATTCTCTGTAAAGGTTATCAGATTTGATCTCTACTTAAAATGTCTTAATGATTTATAATTAGAACACAAGAAATTTCAGAGCTTAAAAAATCAACTTTTGGGGCCGGGGATTTAGCTCAGTGGTTCAGGTGCCTGCCTCACAAGCGCAAGGTTCCGAGTTCGATCCCCGGTACCAAAAAAACCACACTAGCCTTACTTTAAGAAAAGTTAAAACATGATAAATAGAATGAACAATGTATAGAATAGAAAATCTAAAATAGAACACTGAGTAAGTAGAGAATTAGTAAGAAAAAAATAGTGGACAGGGGCCGGGGATTTAGCTCAGTGGTTCTGCAGCCTGCCCCAAAGTCAAGAACTTGAGTTTGATCCCTGGTACCAAAAAAAAAAAAAAAGGCGGACAAAATGGCACTTTTACAACCAGTGACTACTGATTTGAATTTTAAATCTGATGAAATTATTATACAACCATATGCAAAAAGATAAAATTGGACTCACTTCTCACATATTCTAAATGGATCACAGACTGAAATGGTAAAAACAAAACTGACTTCCACTTCCAGCCAAGATGGATAATAAGGTCCAGATTTACCCTGCCATCTCAAACAACTGAGAAGTTGGGCAAAATATATGAAATAATGATTTCAAAACACTGGACTTCAATTGCCAGATATTTAGCTCAGTGGTGCTGCCACCTGCCTCGCAAATCCAAGGTCCCGAGTTTTATCCCCAGTACTAAAAAAAAAAAAGGGGGGCTGGGGATTTAGCTCAGTGGTTTCGTCGCCTGCTGTGCAACCACAAGGACCTAAGTTCGATCCCCAGTACCAAAAAAAAAAAAAAAAGACACTGGACTTCAGATAAAAAAGGACAGTAATACCTGAGAAACAGGAACCAAATTAGATAAGCCTTACAATTGCCTTAAAAATTACACAAACCCAACATTCTCCAATTACAAAAACACTAAAACAAACAAGGAATGGAAGGAAAATTTCTCAATTTAAGAAAACAGCATCTGTGAAAAACCCAGAGCTAACACTTCTTAATGGTGAAAAACTGAAACCATTCCCATTTAAGATCGGGAAAAATGACTGTATTGGAGGTTATAGCTGGGACAATTACACAAGAAAAAGAAAGGAAAAGCAACTGAGAAGGAAGAAGGAAAACTATCTCTACCTTCATGATGATATATTTAGAACACTAAAATTCTACAAAGTACTATTTAGAGCTGACAAATGAGTTCAACAAAGTTGCAGGAAACAAGCAATATATAAAACTGATTTGTATTTCTGTATACTAGCAATGAACAATTTGAAAATGAAATTAAGAAAACAATTCCATTTAAAGTATTAAGAGGAAATACGAATTTAAAAATAAAAGGGCCTGGGATTTAGCTCAGTGGTTCCGCTGCCTGCCTTGCAAGTGCAAGGTCCCGAGTTCGATCCCCAGTACCGGAAAAAAAAAAAGAAGTACCAGACTTGTACTATTGAAATAAAAATAGAAAAGATTTAAATAAAGGAGAAGACTTCACTGTGCATGGACTGGAAGACAGAGTTAATGGAATGCCTATCAAAATTCCAAGACCCATATATGGACAAACTAGGCATCGTAACATTCATACAAAATTTCAAGGGACACAGAATAGCCAAAACAATGTTCAAAAACAAGAACTATGTTGGAGAACTCATTTTTAAAATTCAAAAGTTAGTACAAGGGGTAGGAGTGTAACTCAGGGGCAGAGGGCTTGCTTAACATGTGTAAGGCACCCTCCTTGCAAAGAAAGAAAAAGTTAAGTCTACAGCTACATTAATCAAGACAGTATGGTTTTCCAGATACAGACAAACTGACCATCGTTATACTCACACAGAACTGCAAGAGACACAGAACAGCCATAAAGACAGGCAGGTGGGCCAATGAACAGGATTTAGAGTCCAGAAATAAACCTATACATTGATGGTCAAATGACTTTCAATAAGGGGCTAAGACCATTCAAAAGGGGATAATCTTTCAACAAATGGCATGGGGAGAAGTAGATATCCACATGTAAAATAAGAAACCAAAAAACCCCCAAACAAACAAAACTCAATAGATCAAAGCCTTAAATGTAAGCATTAAAACCGTAAAATTCAGCCAGGCATAGTGGCACATGCCTGTAATCCCAGCACTAGGGAGGCTGAGGCAGGAGGACTGCCGCAAGTTCCAGGCCAGCCTGGCTACATAGTGAGTTCAAAGCCACTTTAAAGTATACAGTGAGGGCTGGGGATTTAGCTCAGTGGTGCCACCACCTGCCTTGAAAGCACAAGGTCCTGAGTTTGATCCCCAGTACCAAAACAAACTGCACAGTGAAACCTTGTCTCAAAAAAACAAACAACAACAAAAACTCTTTTTTTTTTTTAAGACAAAAATCTGCATATGTTTGGCTTAGGCAAGTTTCTTAGATATGAAATCAAAAGCATAAGCAGTCAAACAAAATACCCTGGAATTTAAAACTTGCATCAAAGGACATAACACTAGTTTGGTTTTTTTTGTTCTTTGTTTTTTTTTGGTACCGGGGATCAAACTCGGGTCCTTGCACTTGGGAGGCAGGCAACAAAACCACTGAGCTAAATCCCCGGCCTTTTAATACTAGTTTTATAGGACTGCTGTAACTAACTGCCACAAATCTCATGGCTGAATAAAACATTTATCCTTAGCTCTGGTTAGGAGGGCAAAATTAAGGTGTTGGTGGAGCCAGGTTCCTTCTAAAGGCACTAGGGGAAAATCCTTCCTTTCCTCTTCTAGTTTCTGGCGGCTACCAGGGATTCCTTGGTAACTATAATCTCTTTTTCTGCATGGCGTTCATTTCTTGTGTGTATGTCTCAAATTTCTCTCTCCTTTTTCTTCAAAAGAAGCCAGTCATTGTATTTAGGTCCTAATCTAAATCCAAGATTATCTAATCTTGGATCATTAATTTAATCATGTCCACAAAGATTCTATTTCTATGAAAAGTCACATTCACAAACACTGGGGTTTAGGATTTAAATATAATTTTTTTGTAAGCCCCTACTAAACCAACAGCTTTACTATTAGGAAAATAACAATAAACCAAACAGCCCAATTAATAAACGGGCATAGGATTTGAACAGATATTTCTCCTAGATGTACAAATGGCCAATAACTACATGGAAAGAAACTCAGTCAAGAACCAAAATCAAAACTACAATGAGCCGGGCCAGGGATTTAGCTCAGTGGTTCCACTGCCTGCCTTGCAAGCACAAGGTCCTGAGTTCGATCCCCAGTACCAAAAAAACCAAGAAACCTATAATAAGATACCACTTCATACCCATTAAGATGGCTATAATTTAAAAAGTACACACAAAATGTTGAGAATGTAAAGAATTAAAGACTTTTGTGCACTGCTGGTATGAAAG